TTTGTCTGGTGAAAAACTAGAGTTTAAATATACTAAAAATGATGTCAATTATTTAAGTAGGAATAGTGTGAAATCCCTCAAGCAGAATGAAATTTGAGCTCTTAATCATAGGGCACATTTTGATGCACAGATAAGAATTTCATTAAAAACTCCAAAATTAAGCGTGATCATGCAGAAGCACTCTCAGAAAGGGTGGTCACTTCAAAATCGTACCAGTGTTCAAAATGTGCCCTATGATTAAGTGTCAGAACAAAGTGTCAGAACAAAGTGTTCTACTATGAGAGCCACTACTTGAATCCAGCATGGGGCAAATTCCTATATGGTGAGAACCACCACTTTGTAGGCGCCACCTCTATAAACTTATTTGTCTGGTGAAAAACTAGAGTTTAAATATACTAAAAATGATGTCAATTATTTAAGTAGGAATAGTGTGAAATCCCTCAAGCAGAATGAAATTTGAGCTCTTAATCATAGGGCACATTTTGATGCACAGATAAGAATTTCATTAAAAACTCCAAAATTAAGCGTGATCATGCAGAAGCACTCTCAGAAAGGGTGGTCACTTCAAAATCGTACCAGTGGGACAAAATCATGAGAACATTAGACCAAAGCAGACATTATCAAGATTAATGAGAGTTCTAGCTATACAAATGATATCAAAGAGTTGCATTTGTTTAAAAATGAAAATTAAATGCCATACAAAATAAAATTATTCTCCATGAGAGCTACTTATTGAACCCTAAATGGGACAGAGTGTTGTAAGATGGGAGTCACCACTTGAAATTGTAGAGGCTACCTTTGGAATCTTATCTACAAGGTAGATGATTTTCGATTAAAAAAATTGAAAAAAATGTCACTAAAATTAGAGAGGTTGTGAAACCCCTCGAATAAAATAAAGCTGAAAGCTTAAACATTAAGGTAGCTTTTAGTGGAAATATTGGAACCTCATCAGAAACTCTAAAGTTAAGCACACTTGCATGAGAGTCCTCTCATGATTGGTGGCCTCCAGGGAAGTTATACCAACGGGACAAAACCATAAAGTCATTAGGCCAAAGAGGGTAATATCTTGATAAGTGAGAGTTTGGGTTGTTACAAATGGGCAACCTCCTGGGGGTCCTCACGTTGCACCCATTGAACCCAAGATGGGACAGTGTTATATGTTGGGAGCCACCTCTTCAATATATAGGTGACACATCTAGAAACATATCTTCTTGGTGGATGTTTGTGGGTAAGGAAAATTGATGCAAACGTTAGTTACTCAAGTTGGATAGATTAAGAATCCCCTTTAGAATAAAGTTGACCTCTTAACCATTGATGGATCTTTTAGACCAAAACAATTAGAATTTCATTGCAACTCCAAAGTTAAGTAAGATTGTTTGAGAGGACTATCAGGATGGGTGACCTCACCAGAAGTTACATCAACAACAACAAGCCTTTATCCTACTAAGTGGGATAAGCTAAATGAATCATTTTTTCTCCATTGTGTCCTATTGAGTGTCATATTTTCATTTAATTCTAATAAATTAAGATTATTTTTTATACAACATGCACTAGTTTTTTTAAGTATGTCTCTACCTTTCTTTACATAATTCAAATTTAAAACATCTACTCCAACCGAATCATCAGATGATTGACGTTTAATGTGATCAAACCATCTAAGACAAGTTTCTCTAATATTGTATGTGGTTGGAGCTACAACAACCATTTCATGGATACATTTGTTTCGCATTCTGTCTCTAAGAGTCAAACCAATCATCCACCTAAGCATTCTCAGCTCAGCAACAATTAACTTAATCTTATGCTTCTCTTCTATAGTTCAACATACCATTCTACACCATAAAGCATTGCAGGTCTCACTACCATCTTATAAAATTTTCCTTAAAATTTTCCTTTCAAGTCTAAGCAGTACCTTTTTATCATACAATAGGCCCAATGCATTCCTCCACTTCAACATCCAACTTGAATTCTACTAATAACAGCCCAACTATATCACCATCACTTTGAACAATAGACCCGAGATATCTAAAATGTTCACTTCTTTTAATGATTTGATCACCTATTATTACAACTCTGCTACTGGATTTACTACTACTAAAATTATATTCCATCTATTTAGTTTTAGATCTACTCAAATGAAACTCTTAAGACTTTAATGCAGACCTCTATGACTCAAGTTTATCCTGAACTCTTCCTCTAGTCTTTCCACAAGAAGGATATCATCGACAAAAAACATACACCAAGGTACATCAATGGGATAAAATTAATGGGATAAAACAATGAGACCATTACAACAAAACAAACAATATTTCGATAGGTAGGTATTAAGGTGTTACAAATTTTATTATTGGTTCTTTGATTGCATCTTCTCCCTCCTTAATCTTATATCATTGCTTTTTTCATAGAAGCAAACTACGCCAAGCTACACTCAAGAAAATCATCACCATTAACATTGTTAAAACAACCATTATTAACTCAAGAAATTATAATATTCATCATCTTTGAAGGATTTTTTTGTGCAGTTTTACAAGTGCCTATCTTGTTGTTCATAACAATATTTTCTTTGTTATGCAGGAAGCTATTGCCGCAAGATTGCCCAAGTTCGTCAAGCCCAATTTCATAATCATATTTTAACAATTCTTGAACTTTGATCTGAGGCTCACAATGAATAGACCATGCTTGGTGATGGTCGCCGCCTCCACTTGAATTTTCCAATCCATCCAAGTCTAATGCTAGTCAAGCATTTCGCATGCCAAGTCGACCCCTCTTATTTCTTGCTTTCACAACATCTTTCGCAATTTCATCATCAAACTCTTGCCACAACTTCGACACCCGACCACAATCACATGAGCCTTAAATAATGTCGCCATTTACGCAGGTCAAAACACTTCTCAGCATTCTCAATAATCCATCTAAACTTGCAAAGAACCATAACATTACCACCAACACTGTCCCTGACATCTCAAATCTTTAAATATGTCCATCACAACCTCGTCAAACCGTCCAAATGAAATTGAACAATCATCACTGCTCCTTTAACTAAACCCCAAATACACACCAACGACTCGAAGAAATCCATGGCCAAGAAATTAACAATATGATCTGCAAGGTTAAGTCTCCATCTTAAAAAAAAAAGGTAGCAAACAAACCCATAGATTTCATGATATATGACTCTTGTAGTCATGCAAGATTCTAAGATTACATATCCATAAATACCTGCAAAGTCACACATCCAATCAAGATTCAATGATAATCTATTCACACATCTCAAAACCCATGAGAGCAAAAATTGTTGCATCTACCACTTATGACTATTTGATTTGTTTACAAGTTTGCTTATTTGTGCATGTTTAGCTGACCGACTCAACATTTAAGTGCAAACCTCTATAATCAACGAGACAAAACGTGACAACAACTACTTTGACGTTGTTCAAGCCTGAAGAGCAATTCAATATTAATTAAAATAGGTGTTCATTATTTCAATGAGTAAAATCCACATGAATGGCTTTCCAAGTTTGATTAGTTCTCTTCGTACCATAATCTATCTGATATACAACATTTTTTAAATTCTCCCAGTGCATGTGGATGCTTAAAAATTATATTACAACTACAGAATGTCTTCAAATAATTAATTGAGTTCTTAGAATTCACTGGAATTCATTTAATAAAAACATTATCCAACATTTTAGCCATTCTTTTAAGATGATAAAACATCCTCTTAAAATCATTAACCATACTCTTGAAATGACCTAATGCGTTTTGAAGATCAAACTCCACATCAAGTAGACCATAATATCACAAACCCTTTTGAGGAGATTATAGAATAGTGGTCAATGCTAACAACCGAAACAACACAACCAATCCACGACACTACTCAATTAGAGTTTGGTTGAATAGAGAATCAATACGTGCATGGCCACCAAGGCATGAACACAAGGGTTTTCTTTAATTGTATAGGTCAATGCTTTCTTGGTGACATCCATGTTATTCAAGCACACAAACTTGAATAGCTTTAGAGATTGTGGCTGCATGGATGGCCGCCAAGTCCACCTCATCCATTTCATTGACTTGGTATTTGACCATAAGTGCAAGACATTGTAAGAGGAGTGATGTTGTGAATCTAATTGGAATGTTAAGGAGCTTGCTTCAGTAGTTAAACATGATTAATTAATTGGAGTAACTAACTTTAGGTAGCCCTATCCTCTATAAATACTCCTAAATAAAAAGGATGGTGGATATTAAAAGGAATGAACAAATTTCCCTACTCCTATCTAATTTTATTTTCTTTATTTTTGAGAGTTTCAACAGCTCAAAATGATTGATTGCATCAACAGCTCGGCATGTTCGATTACAATTGAGGATCCTATGGCATTTTTATATACAATTACAACCACAGGTCGGAATTATCCCTTTGCCTCTGCTTCCATGTTATTCTACTTGTCTAAACCCTGAAGTATACAAGCATGAACAAAAAACTTAAAAACAATAAGAAATTGTCACCGTCTTCAGTGCAGGGATTCATCTCTCAGCATGAAAGGCGCCTTGCAACCCATACAGCGCCAATTTCTTGAAATTATAATACAAGAAAAAAAAAGCGTCAACATGAACTACACACCCCATGGAGGAATAGTTTACTTTTATTTAAATTATTCCCTTCCCTGAACCTATGTATGCAAGGTTTCCATTCAACGTGATAAGATTCCCAAACCCGAATCTATCTCCTATAGTAAATCTCCACGATAAAAGAGGAATCCATTAACTAAAAAAAGGGGCTTCTAATCGTTTTCCAAAAAAGTTTGTCGAGCTAAGATCTTTCATTAGAAATCACTACGCATTTTGGAAACTCAAACGCAAAACATAAGCGAAATCAAAACAAAGACGAAAACATTTGCATCTTGGTGGTTAAAGAGGATGAAACTACAGCTATACTTTCTCGCACAAAAAAACAATCTGAAAGCATTATAACGAACAAATGAAACCCAGATGCAGAACCATACACATACCTTCAAATCCAAACCATGACCAAGCCACATATTTGTATAAATAAAAACCTAGCGTGCTGAAAATTTTAAGCGGTGGCGATGGCAAAGACCAAGGTTAGACATTGGTGGAAGGAAGAGGGAAGAAGAAATGGTGAAATTCGATTATTCGACGCACGCGGCTGATCTGCACGAGGATGGGGCCGGCGAGCCCACCAAGTGGCAACTCGTTTTTCCAGGTCCAACTCGTATTACTACTTAGAACGTGCGGATTACGGATTACGGATAACGTTGTAAATTTAATCTAGGGACATTTATGTACATAGTACATAATTCTTAAACTTCCATTTCTATACATATAACACTGGAGCCATTAATATCACATAAAAAAAGTATATTATTATCATTTTTTTAAAATGAAGAGGCTTAAAATAACAAAGGGCTACCTATGTAAATATGAGATTTTAGGTGTGAGATATGTAAATACATTAGAATTGTGTTATGGGCATGTAAATTGCCCATTAAACTATTACGGTTGAATTTCGACACATTAGAACTTTAGATTTAATATATTTTTTATTTATGATGAGTCAATTCGACTACATCGTTGTGCGAAAATAATGTGGAAGCATAGAAATTCACACAAGAACAATCAAACACAAGATTTATATGGTCCAGCATTAAATTGATTCGCCTATATTCACGTGGAGGGAGATTCCACTAGCACGGGATGGGAGAGAAAAACGACGGAGTTACAACTTAACACTTCTCGCCATACTCACCACATGAGCCTGAATTCCCTTTTATAAAGGATGGTTAGGACATAAAAGTAAATCAAGATAAAAAAATAAAAAATATCACTAATCACAATAAAGGTAAATAATGTCGTAAATACAAAAACATTCACCTCATCTCTTGCATACAGATAAGTGAGAGGGAATCAAATAAGCTCCAAACTCCAATTCAGATGCACCAAGATGGTTGTCTATGTAACCCCTCTCCCGAAAATATCAATTATGTGCTTGGATGTTTACCAAACTCCCGCAATAGGTGAACTTCTGGACTGATAGTACCCTTATGAGCATGTCCATTTGATTCTCCTTTTATATCTATATTTTTCAATATAATTTTGTCTTCTTCAATCAATTCCAGAACAAAGTGGTATCTCACATTCGTGTATTCGGTATGAGAACGATGAACTAGATTTGTAGTCAAGAATATTACACTCTGACTATCAAAAAACACTTTTAGAGACCCTTGATCCCCTGACAAATCTCAAGTCATCTGATAGGTTATGCATCCATATAACATACTTCATCATCTTTGTGGTTGTCATTTACTCAGCCTCCATAGTAGACAGAGCAACATTAGACTGAAGAAACGACCTCCAAATGACTGGACCTCTTGCCAATATGAATAAATAGCCTCTGTTATATATTCGTCTATCCACATCACGTGCATGGTTTGATTCAGTGTAGCCAACACACAAATCTGCAATAGATGATTGTCTCTTAAACATCAAGCCAACATCAGTTCTATGCTTCAGATACCTCAAAATACTCTTCACAGTCTGTCAATGAATCCTTCCCGATCTTACGTAAACCTGCTCACAACACCAACTACATGTGCAATATCTTGTCTAATACAAACCATGATATACATCAAACTGCTCACTACATCAAACTGCCCGCTTACATAAACCTACTCCTATCCCAAATATTTTATACCACTATCGTGATGAATGGTTCAAAACACATAAAGACTGGTCCAGTTTACAAACCAAATCTATTGATGTTTTATATTTAGGTGGTTGCAATATATATGTTGATCATGTCCTGCAATTCTCCATGTAGAGATGTAGTCTTCATATCAAACTATTCCAAGATCAGACTGTATTGTGCTGCAAGTGCTAAGAAAACACACATTGAAGGATGCTTGATCATTATGGAGAACACCTCATCATAATCATTCTTTTTTCATTGCACAAAGCCTTTTGTCACTAATCTTGTCTTTTACCGCACATCAGCTCCATAAAATTTTTCTTTCTTTCTACACAATGGCTTTCTTTCCTAGATGAAGCTTCACCATCCTCCAAGTAACATTATTCCAAAGAGATTACATCTCTTCATCCATTGCCGCTCTCCAAAGATCATAGTCTGGACTCTCCATCATTTCTTTGTAGTGACAAGGAATTACTGGCTCTGTGGTTGAAAGTGCAAGTGCAATGTGATCCCTCAACCAAGCTAGTTTTAGGACATTTTAGCGCCTAGTCTTGCTCTTAACAATAGATTCCTAAGCAAAAATCACATCCTCAATATTTTTTTCCACTTACTTCTAAGCACTATCAATAGATGCCTCCCGAGCTACAGTTAAATCATATATTTGAGTTAGAGTGAACAAACTTTATGAAACAAATGAAATCACACCAGCCTCCAACTTCTGTTGCATATCTGTGATTTAAGTAAAACTCTTCACCTGCTTTCAGTCCTGATTTTTCAATAAGTTTGCCTCGTCGAATGTAACATCACTACTAATGACAATGTTCCTTTCTGACTGATCATATAGCTTGAAACCCTTGACTTCACGTATGAAGCCAATGAAGATCACTTTCTTTGCTCATGATTTTGGTTTATCATTCTCCACATGGTAGTAAGTTGGACACCAAAACACTCTCATGTGTTCATAATATTTAGCAGGATGCTTTGACCACATTTTCTTTGGAGTCCTCTTCTCAATAGCTACAGAAGGCTCACATTTCACCAAGTGATAAACATATTATATGACATCGACCTAATAGATTCTATGCAACCTAGCATTGGATAACATACACTAACATTTCTCCACCAAAGTCTGATTCATTGTCTCTATCACCCCATTCTGTTGTGGTGTCTATCGAATAGTGAAGTCGTGCTTTATATTAGCTCTCTAACACACTAGCAAGAACACATCTGAAGTGTATTAGCCTTGATTGTCTAATTTGAAACATCGAATCTTTTTACTATTCTGAGTCTCAATCCATTTCTTCCAATTTATGAAAATCTCTCATACTTTGCTTTTGCATTTTATGGTGTACACTCAAACAAACATGGTGTAATCATCAATAAAAGAAACAATATCTCTGCTCACTGGATGATGATGCCTTTGTCGAGCCCTAAACATCTGTGCGAACATACTTTAAAATGCATTTTGTATTGTGGACGATAGTCCTAAAAGATACACGCGTATTCTTGTTAAACACACAATGTTCACAAAAAAGTTTAGCTTGCATATGTTCGCTTCTTTGATCAATCATTTATTCACCAAGTCCTGAAATGAAGTCTCTTCAACATGAGCTAGCCGCATATGCCACAACATAATGACGTCAGAAGAATTATTAGCAACAACAGTTGTTTTAGCCATTTTTTTTAATCTGATTATAGAAAATGTTGTGATTGTGAACTTCTTTTCATAAAAATCATTGATCCACAACATTTACTATCGTCATAACTTCTATCTCAATAACTACCATGCAACCCTTAGACTAAAGCCCCGACTGACAACAAATTCTTTCTGATATCTAGAACTTATTTCACATCGGTCAGCTCCCTCATAGTTCCATCATGCATCGTGATAAAAATACTTTTCACACCAATAATATGACAAGCTTGATCGTACCTCAGAGTCACTACATCGATATCCAACTCATTGTACGTATAGAACCACCCTCGATTAGAACATATGTGATAGGTAGCACATGTGTTCAAAATCCAGCATGAATCATCGGTAAATAAACTATGAGAAACCGCAAATAACAATACATCTGGACCACCTCTTCACATTTGTTCACAGTGAATTGCCTTTCATCCCATAAGTTCTTTCCATTCACATTCAGCTTCGAACAAGTTTTTTTCAATGACCAATCTCAAAACAATAAGCACCCTGATTTTTCTCAAAATTGAGGCCCACAAAGTAAATGGTGACCAAAATACCCCTAATTACAATAAAAGTAAATATTGTCATAAATACAACATATATATCACAATTACGAATTCATATATTTAATACTTGAAATTTGATATTTATTTATATACCAATTTGATCCATAATATGAATTTGTATTTTACTTTAAAAAATTTATAAATAAAGATATTTTTAATGTCATATTAAGGATTTAAATGTTATGCATATAAATATGCAAATATGAAATTTTAAATGCTAGATATGTAAATATATAATCATTGTGCGGTATTTATGTAAATCCCCTTATTTAACATTTGAGTTGAAAGTTAGTTAACCTACTCCTTAATTTGATTCAATTATAAATTTGTAATTGCCTTGGCAACATTATGAGTGGGAAAAGGGTCACTTCCAGAAGAGAGCATGCGGTTGGATGTACGACCTGGTTTAAAAAATAAAATAAAATCCTATAAAAATATATGTTGCGAACAAGATAAAATTATGGATTAGAATACTGTTATTGAAATTTATTTAAATTATGCAATAATCATTGAATTTATTTTAAAATATGTTTATTATAATTTTAAGTTTTGATACATCTCAAACAAATCTCCATCATCCGACTCGGATGTCAAGATAAGACATAGATCTAAAGATGATTTTTTGAGCAAAAAATATTCAAACATCGATCAAAACTCATCCAGAACTTTGATTTTAGTAAAATTACACTCAAATTGACTGGCTCGACAAGAAGAACCGAATGTTATGAAAACTAGTTCAATCCGAGTCAAATCAAGCACAGATCAAGTCATTAAACCACATTTGGAAGTTTTTCAGACATATTTATAAAGTTAAGCAAATTCCTAATCTAGCAAGACTATTCAAAGTGTCTCGACAAGACAAATTCAACGAGCCCAAGATTGCTCAATTACCACATCGTTGAGACACTTAAATGTCCATCAAACACCGTTTGATTGAAGGAAACTTTTCGGATCGTCCGATCAAAGTGGTTCATATTTCTGCATTAATTACACTCATAACACTATGAATATAGCCACGCCTCTCTCATGACGAGGAGGCGTGAGGCTTGAAAGATAATTTAAAGCTCTGAGAATGAGTTGAAGTTAAACACCATCACTGTCGCTGTCGACCACAACCGACCATCGTCAACACTCGTCGACCATCGTAGATCATCGTCAATCGCCACCAACCTTCGTTGACCACCGCCAACCACTGCCAACCACAATCGATTATCATCGAGCACTACTATAGTTGTTAACCAACACCGATCGTCGTCGACCA